TTAGTACAGTTTGAAAAACGTGGATTTATTAAACTGTAATCCTTTATTACCATACGTCCGCAAGCGACACGTTTAACATAACATTAGCATTGGCGTAGCTTAAAATCCATGGCAACTATTACTGTGACAATGATTGGCGTTATATAGTGACAGGTAAATACTCAGATTTCCGCAATAGTAGAACAATAATAGTACAATCGGATGAGGCAATTTCTGCTGAGGGCATACTGCGCGTGTAATTTTTTTTACAAAAATGGAGTATCTAGAGTAGATGAAAACCTGGAAAAATATATTCGTAGGATGGAAATTTCATATAATACATTAGTAAACGTCATTGGTATACGGTAACAACAAATCTTATAATTTATTTCATCACCTGTTTGTTATATCATTAAATACACGAAAATTTTTATCATAACAAAAACATTGCACACTGTGTTTCTGTTCCTATTATTTAGAACGCAACATTTTTCAACAGAAAGCAAGAAGAGTTGAATGGCTGAGAAAGTGCAGTAGTCGATTTGCATAATAAAATCAGTTGCGTGGTAGGCGTTTGTTCAGAAACAATCAATTTTAAACTACGCTTCACTTTTTATCACAGATGCAGATGACAGTCTCTTATTGATGAGGATATAAAGTTATAATTGCTGATGTTAAAGTACGTAGAATTTAAATTGTTAATTTTAATTTAATAGATTCTATCGTATAAGCTTGTAACTCAAACCTCGAGTACTTTCTAAGTTTATGCTGTGATCAATATGCCATTAAAAAGCTGCGGCAAACTTTTAAAACCACAGATAATTAAAAACGATTTATTACGGCGGACGGAACAGCCATTTAAAAAATCAATGTAGGTACCTATTTATTCATCTTTATAGGATCGATAAAAACTTCATGTATGAATATAATTCATCTGTAACTATTTGCAGTAATACAATTTTGAGTGAGTCACGTTTCTAGCATGGTTAATTGTTTTATGTTGTTATTAAAGAATAGATGTTCTAGGGACTTGCAAAGAAAGCCTTCGGGTAGGTAGTCAAGCATACCCGTTGATAGGAGAAAGATGTAGAAATGAGCAGTTAAGAAGCATTTGTTAATTATAGTCAGTGCGAAGACACTATCCGAATACTTTACTACAAGGTAAATTCTTTTCAATTAGGATTAATTAATTGAATTGATATGAATAAATACAACAGATGGGGGCGTTGGATAAGGACGGACTTAATAAATTAAAATTAGGAGTTACAGTAAATTATATTAACTTAGGTGAAATGATTAACTAATTCCTTTTTCTCTCGTTATAATTGACTCATATTTTAATTTTACCAGTCCGTGAATATGCGTTGAAGTATTTCAAAGTAAGCTGCACTGTTTTGAGGTTGGTCTTAAATTTTTATTACCGCTGATAGTAAGGTCAAATAGTTCCTTAAATGTTGGTTCTGTAAGAAGCGGACCTAGGCTGAACTACACCCATTATAATCCAGACATTATTATTCTGTCAGTAGGGCCATCGAGCCTCCAACTTGGCTCTGTAAACCACTGTTAAGGGGTTAAAATGTTAACCCCTAATACCCGTCCACGTAGTTAAGCATTGTCTTCAAAATGGAGTATTTATCCAATAGCGTAGAAGTCTTATAAATCTTTTCAGTAAAATGAATTTCCGGTTTAGTTTCCTAGGTATCATTTCAAAAACTCATCATACTCTCTTTCATAATTTTATAATTTTTTTTTGAGTTTATAGGCATTGTCTTCAATTGTATTTGATTTCATAAAGTTCTAGTAAATTATTTATGCTGGAGCTACAGATGCAATAGTTATTTACATAAAAGTCAGGAAAATGACACATTAATTTACTGCGATCACTTCGGAAGCACTAAAACAAAATTATGGGAATGCCAGCATCAAAACACAAATTAGCGGTGTCTCCGGAAAAGCAAATGCAGGAAAACGAAACAATATCTCCCCTTTAATTAATGGAATAGCAATTAGAAAAAAGCTTAGGTACCTTGCAATAATATGGAGCGGTAGAAATTTCTGTGTAAGAAAAAGCAAAAGCTGCAAATACGCCGCGATCTATTTAATGTAGAAGCCAAAAACAAACTGTATGAATGCAAAATTAATTTATGGAATGTATAAAAAATTCATGCGGTATTTACAATCATGTAATTCGCAAACCATCAAAGGTAAAAGATCTTACGTTTCCGTTAAAACACCAACGGCAAAAAAGATCGATGATCTTAAATACGGTACGTTTGCCAAACGAAATTTACGGAAAAGCTCATAAATTACGGTACTTACGAACGTAACCTGCGAAGATGCAAAATGCAAAAAGATCCCTTCTAATCAACACTTTACCTTTTATAAAATTTGGATATTTCATGGAGGGATCGACGGTTTTCCCAGCCGACAGCTTTTTCGGTTATGTACATCCAAAAATTAAAAGTTTCTTAATTAATTGTGTAGTCTGTGTACATCCTAAAAGTCTGTCTTAGCATTTAAATTAATTGAGTGCACTTTTTTTGAGACCCCTACCGACCTAATCCAATGCATCTTATTTAATCAGTTATCGCTAATTATACTTACTTAATTTGCCGGGTAATATTTCTAAATGCATAGTTCTAATTAACACCCATTGTGTCTTGGAATTTCTCAAGTCGGCAAAAGGTCTCATATCAAACTGAAACAACGATCGCTTCGATAGTACAACGTGAATCTAAAAAAAAATTTCCAAGACTAATCTCCACTATTTGGTATTAATTACTGAACACCTCCTTTGACATGGAGTACAGTCATTAAACGAATCATTCTTCGCCAGCAAAACTAGGCTGTCTTTTTGGCTCCCTAGATACCAGAATCCAACTTTTTTCATCAGCTTTTTCTGTAGTCAAACACTACCTAGATAAGTTTGCCCTGCGTTTTCCTGCGACTTGACGGAGCCCGACTTCTTAAATCCATTTTGAAACAAGGTGCTATTGTATTGACATACATCATTGAAGTACTTATTCAATGCATACATGCAATAATAGGCCACACAACGTTTAGGTACACCGCGGTTGACAAATTTACCTTTGAAATTCCACTATGAATATGATTATCAGGGAAATAATTTTGAACCTCTAAGTTTTAATAGGTACTCTCCCCACTAATGTCTAAATGGGACGAGTGGTCAAATGAATTTAGACGGAATTTTCATTATATATTTTCTTTAACAACTGATTAGCTGTTATTATCCAAACGACTTCAGACTGTTGGTATATATATATATATATATATATATATATATATATATATATATATTCTAATAAAATTGTATTCATTTAATACAAGTCCTGGCGGTATTTAACGACTAACTAAAATCTGCAGTTCTGTTCGACTGCACACTTTTAATTATTTTTATTACCATAATAAATTATAATTATGTAAGAGAGCCATTCGAGGTGGTATCAGGGGACGAGAGCCGCGTCGTAATTTCCCCAATATTCGACAGGCCCTGTCCGACCCTAAGTAAATAAGGATGTAATTACGTTTCAATGCCTTTACGCCTTTGTAACTATCAAGGAAGTATATAGTAAATATACCAACTGAGAGAGAAAGTGAACTACGACTATTCAAGTAAACCTAAGTTATACTGTAAAACATAGTTGTCGCAATGAATGTGTATACAGGGTGTCAATTTATAAACCTTCAACGGGTAGTAAGCGTATTTAAGTAAAAGGTATCATCAAATACTAAACACTGTTTCGGTAGGACATGGAACGAACAACACTGGAACCTCGATATTCTATATTTCACTTCAAATGTGACACTTTAAAAAGCTTTCCAAAAAGCATTTGATTTAATAAATCGTTCAAAGTAACCCTGTATGAAAGCCATTTTGTTGAAAATTAACTGAATTGTCTCCCATCCATCGATTGCCGGTTCTTCACATTCTGTCGAGTAAGAGGTTCGGCCGTATTTTGCAGTAATACTATTTTAATTAAAATTTTGTTCGATAAAAAGAGGAACGCATTCCCAATCTTAAGTCTCTGCGCTTAGTGTGCAGATCCTTCCCGAAAAAAGACTAATCTTATTTCACCGTTCCGTTTATAAACAACGCGCATTCGTCGCCAAAACAAAGATTTTTACCAATTCCAAGGCATTTTTGGGTTCTTTGACGATTTGCAGTTTTATAGGAAAAACTTACATAGTTTGAGCATTTTTCACATTGACATTAACAACTCTCCTTTTACAATAGCTGCTATATCAAGAGATAATTCTTCGTAAAAGTCCCTAGGCCGAGTGACTTTAATTTCTTTTTATTATAACCTTATCATTGATGGAACTCAAAATTCAAGCAAACAGATTGTAAGAAAAGATTAACAATTTCGATCGTAAACTTTAATAAATGTGGCCTACTTCTAAAATAACAAGAATGAGTTATTTTTCTGGAAATCTCTTGCCGCATCTTGAGACAAAGGTTGCTTGCAGAACTCCACCCCTCGGAGTGATGTATTGAAATTTATGCTCTTTTTAATTGGGGTTTCTTTTTTTAGGTCAGCTGTTAGCGTAAATTATTAACGAGTTTCCTCTGTACTTCCTACTTACAAATTTTGTGCTTGACGTCACTTAAAGGGCGGAATGAGATTTTCGTTATGGAAATAGAAATTATACTACCGCATTTGATATCTGCGCACATAACGCTTGCTTAGTTTTGGTACCCTTAATTTGTAGGTTTCATATTTTATGTAAGCACATAAGCTGAATTTACTCTCAACAATAGTTTAGTGGTACCTACACAGCTCAACCTCTTTGAAATTTCCGTGCATCAGGAGCATTTCTCTAGAAAGCTGTTTCTAATACGCGATTGCCTTGCGCAATGCGTTACCTATACATAAAATAAAATTGAAATTATATAACTTTACACTCATTCAAACTAGCTCGACCTAATATTAACTCATTATCAATAGATACTATCGCATACATGTTCTCTTTTAGTAATTTGTTTCGTTTTTTTTATTGCAGCACGAAATGATCGCCACATCGCCTAAATCCTCATTTGTTAAATTAGGATTTTATCCTCGCCAAAAATCCCTAAAAGTTATGGTACTTGGGCAAACTGGAGTAGGAAAGACCGGTGAGTAGCACTATTTATGTTATGTAATTATTTTACTTCATATTTTACGGTTGTGTGAGCAAAATGTAAACAGAGTGGTTGACAGTTGTGATGGGATGAGATAAGAATGTTTCGCATAGCTTATACATTATAGCTTTCCGAAGAGTTAAATTATTTATTGTAGCTAGTCTCAAAATCTCCTACTGAAAGTTTCCTTACTAAGGTCAGGAGGCTGAAGATCACTGTAATATAAATCGCCGCTGCTTTTTCAGGATTTACTTTCAGTCCGCTTTTCTTAGACTAAGTATTACAGTATTGATCTAGATCGATTCCTTAAGGTTTTCATTCACATTCTCACCCTTACAACTGATACACACCAATGTATCGTCAATGTATGTAGAAAATTATGGAACCAACTTTGATATCAAGGATATATGGTTTAGTCATTTAGTGCATCAAATGTCAGTGGATGGTTCGCGTATATTTTCGGGCGTCTCACTGAACGCTTACTTAATGATATAAATTTGCTTGTTTAGAATCACGGGTTTCATTGTTTGCGCAGATAATTTAATTATCTGGCCAGCAGAGACACGTAGTTTAGCTAGGAATTAGGTTTTTATCAATTTAGAAGATTGTAAGAATGGTATTGATTTCATTATTTAATCATAATACCGAAATGTACTCAAATGTGACATAACTTTTTGAAATTTTTTTCACAGTTATTACTGACTTACAAAAGTAGTAAAAAGATTTATTTCAGAAGCAAGCTAAAGTTGAGGTTATATTCAAAGTCCTAAATATTCTGCTACTAAGTGAATTAGCACTTCTCTAAATTATTGGTTATGAATTCGCAATTAGTAATGTACCTTCAATGAAGGAAAAATAAACCGAATGCTTTCCAGTTCTTAACCCTTTTTTATCTGAGTTAGCCTGGGAAGTAAAGTACAGACGAAAGGTAGGTCCAAACGTACTACAATAAAAAGAAGGCGAAGAAAATTGCAGGAAGAATTTAATCAATAGAACCACAAACCCGATGTTCTTTTCCACAATTGTACCTACTATTACACCCTGTTCTCGGTTCGTTTTCAACGGCCGTTTTATATTAAACACACCGTTCATGTAATTAATACAAATATTTTTTCTCCCTCTTTAAGATTTCTTACCCACTAAAAATTTAATGCCCAGCCCATGTTTTTAATTCATAGCCACCTTATATGTGTAAATTTTGCTTTATTGTCAATTTTTACATGGCAACCTCCAGAATTTTTAAATGTGGGCACGTCATTTAGAATATACCTGTATTATGATGACGTGGGTTATATGCATAAATAGAGAAATTCCCTGCGACTCCGTGCCACTTTTTTCTGCGGTCACATGGCATTGTACAACGCATCCTTGTCATTAGATAATAGCATACAGTAAATTTTACTCTATGATAATAGTCATTGGAATTTTAGCATTTCATTAAACGTGTAAGGGTATGTTAACAATACAGGGTCATTCTTGACGAGCGTCAGTTAGAAAGATATGGAAAACCTTTGAAAATGAAACTAAACTGATAAGTCCTTTAAGGGTTTTGGCACATGATGAATTGAACTAAAATATTTTCAAGATGGCGCCACTTCCGGAAATACCGGAAGTAGCCATCAACTTTGTTATTTTAAATAGGGATCCCCTATTTTTTCTACATTTTCGGATTCTTCGTCGAATTTGGAGTACAACGATATCCCATAGTTGACTCTTTGCTCCAAGGGCTTCGCCGATATTCAATTTTTTAAGTCAAAAATTGAATTTGCAGGGGTAATTTTAAAAATTTATTATTCGAAAACGGTGAGAGATATTGCAACACAATTTTCAGTGATTTATTAAAGAAAGATCGAATTTTCTTATGGTATGCGTAACAGTCTAAGAAAGTGAGACTACGTCACTTTTCCAAAGCTCTCAACTTTTAAATATCCGTAACTCCATTTTTTCAAATGGCACCCCCCATTTTGTTCTTCACCCTTGTTTTCCTTTTTCCTAGACCTTTAATTTGATACAAAATGTCAAAAGCTCCTTCAAACGGTTTCCGAGATATTCCATGTTTTAATTACTTCTTGTAGCAAATTAATAAAAAAATTAATTCGCTTGATGTAATCCTTTTGTTTTTATTATGAGAATGTTTAAACGTCAAATTTGCAGGAATAACGGTATGTTACAAACAAAAATACAAAAAGGAAGCCTGCGGTAGACTCTGACGGACAAGAAATAACAGCTCTACTGGCGTATTTTGCTGCAAATCCAACTGCATCGCTTAATGATATCCAAAGAGAAATTGACATATCAGACACGAGTGCACAAAGAATTCTCTGTACTGGCGTATTTTACAGTTATTTCTTGTTCTTCAGAGTCTAGCACAGGCTTCCTTTTTTTAAATTTTTGTTTGAAACGTACCGTTATTCCTGAAATTTTGTATTAATTTGCAAATTATAGCCTCTGTGGATTGCGCCTTGTCAGGATATCTTTCGGAAAAAAGACGGCAAGTCCTGGCCGCTATTCGATTATATCCACCGTGTATTAATATTAAATTCAAAAAATCTTCATTAGTGTAACCCAAACGAGCCATTATTGACGAGAAGTATAAGTTCAAGCAGCAAAAATTTGACGTTTAAACATTATCATAATAAAAACAAAAGAATAACATCAAGCGACTTAATTTTTTTATCAAGTTTCCACAAGAAGTAGCTAAAACATGGAATATCTCGGAAACCGTTTGAAGGAGCTTTTGACATTTTGTATCAAATTAAAAGTCTGAGAAAAAGGAAAACAAGGGTGAAGAACAAAATGGGGGGTGTCATTTGAAAAAATGGAGTTATGGATATTTAAAAGTTTAACAGTTGAGAGCTTTGAAAAAGTGACGTAGTCTCACTTTCTTAAACTGTTACGCATACCATAAGAAAATTCGATCTTTCTTTAATAAATCAGTGAAAACTGTGTTACAATATCTCTCACCGTTTTCGAATAATAAATTTTTAAAATTACCCCTGCAAATTCAATTTTTGACATAAAAACTTGAATATCGGCGAATCCCTTGGAGCAAAGGGTCAACTATGGGATATCGTTGTACTCCAAATTCGACGTAGAATCCGAAAATGTAGAAAAACTAGGGGGGCCCTATTTAAAATAACAAAGTTGATGGCTACTTCCGGTATTTCCGGAAGTGGCGCCATCTTGAAAATATTTTAGTTCAATTCATCATGTGCCAAAACCCTTAAAGAACTTATCAGTTTATCTTCATTTTCAAAGGTTTTCCATATCATTCTAACTGACGCTCGTCAAGAATGACCCTGTATAGGAACTCAGCAGCGTTATTTATTGCATCCGCAACTCATTCACTTTTTATTCAGTAATAAAAAAAACCAGGGTATCTCTGTCATTGTAAAAGCAATCAAAAATAGTTTTATTATGAAGTTTCTTATTTCGAAAAGAATTCTTTGTTCAATCATATAGTTTGCCTTGCGTTCCTGAAAAGAAAATAAAGCCTTCTTTGGTCATGTTAAATTCAAATATGGTGCCCTATTAATTTAAAAACGGTACCTACTATTGATATATCTTGAATTACATTTTGAGTTTGACCTATAAGAAAGTTTCTCATAGCTTTTATAATGACGGAGAGATTAATTTTTTAACAAACAGGGGTTTCATTTAAATAGCTTCTATTGGAACCTCAGTTTTCCTATTTTGTAAAGGAAATTTTAATGAGTAGGTATACAAAACTGTAAAAAATGCTCACTTTACTAATCTCTATTTTCATTAGTTGTCCTTAAATTAATATCATACACAAATTTCAAACGAAGATCAATTGAATTAAGTTGTGTAATGAACTGTTCATTCAGATTCAGAATGTACATATAATGCCAGTATTAGAATCCTTATTTTAAAATGTGACAGAAATATAATAAATACGATTCTGAAAACTTTGAGAATATTTAAACATCCTCAATAAAATGTACATGAAAACTTCACTCAAATTCTAGAGACTTATAGGACAAGTTAATAAATTGTTTGAATAATTTTATTGTACAATATGGAACTTTTGTGCGTAAATGTATAACATTCGTCTTCTCGTTTTTACAGCATTGGTTGTCCGATTTGTCACAAGAAGATATATTGGAGAATACGACCCCACACTAGAAAAAATTTACACGTATCACACTATCATAGACAACGAAATGGTATACTTCGATATTTTAGATACTGCAGGTCAGCCCCATGTAAGTATAATTTGAAACCTTTTAATTTAAGACCGGGATAATATTCGGAACAGCGGTGACAACAGGAAGCGCGTAAAAGTAACTGGGTTGGATTTTAGTGAGAGGGCCAAGCACTTTACGCAATGTCTTTATGGACGACCTATTCGACTAAGTACATTTAGTGGCCATATCTGAGCGATCGTGTCTTGGTTTAGTAATTTTCGAAAATGCGTACAATTACGGTTCCCGAATGCTAATCCCCCTTTAAAGTATGCGGTTAACCGATGAAATGTAGTGCAATGTAGCTTTAATTGGGCTCTTGCGGACTGAGAGACGAAAAGCTGGTAAAATCTACCGCGTATTAAATAAAGTCTAAAGACCACATTGTATTCGTTGGTCTAACGATTAAACGCTCAACAATAAGGTTCCATTTCGATATTTACCAAACTAATTTGATCGATACTTACTCAGCTAGGATTACGCTTTACTCCATATTAATCTCTAATTGTGCTGGTTTAACCCTTAATCTGTTCACATTTTCATAGTTTTATATGTATATTTTTAGTGTATTTTCCAAGGATATTTTTTGTACACATGCGCAAACTAGGCATTGTTCGGAAATTCCCCGGAACATATAAACCAAAAACGAAGAAAAAATGGGAAAATATCGTTTTTTTCGCATTTGACGTTTCTTGTTATATTTCGGAAATTATTCCATTTATTAACTAAGAAAATTCTTCGGATTTTGAAAAGAAAACTCCACAGCACGTCGATGTACAAAAATCACTGAAACAATTTGCACCGGAAGTCCGGTTGCAAATAAATTGATTGGCAATTTCTTCTCATTTTTATTGAGTGTGAAATTGCAACCAGAAAACTGTATCATAGAAATTATGGGAAAAATGCCTGCGTTTAGCTCAGTAGTTGCCTATTAATTTTACCTCTTCCCTCGATTACTCAAGAGATCTCCTTCCTTTATTTGAGGGTAAGTATGTTTGGATTTATTGTACAGGCTGATTATATTTAATTGTCATTTTTCTTTAGGCTATCGATTTACGACCTTTGTTGTGTCCATTATCAGGCCGTAGCGTCGATAGCATAAAGAAAAATAACAATTAAATACAACCAGCCTGTACAATAAATTATTACATACCCTCAAATAATAACAACGGGCTTAGGCAAGAGAAAATGGAGAATTTCATACATCGCATCTCCTTCCTTATCCGAAATTTGACTACAAATCGGGGTTCTTTGACTGATGTAGGTACTGTCTATCAAAAAGATGGAATTTACGGTATATTGATAAAAAATTAGGAACATTAGTAAGGGTAGTTTCTCGGGTAGTTTAATGATGCGCCTCCTTAGTTACATCGGTTTTCCAATGATGGCTGTTTGCAAAAATCCACGGCATCCATTGTCGCAGTAATCGTTGCCATGGATTTTAAGCTACGGTTAAGCTAAGCTCAGTTTAAATTTGTCGGTGCAAACGGCCAAAAACGACATTTTCCCATTTTTTTTCGTTAGGGGGATTACGATTTTCGGTTTCAGAGGATTTTTTTACATTGAATCTACTTGGTTTCGTTGAGTGAAGTAATAACATCCACCCCAAACCGTAATTTGACTGGACTATTAAATCTCTGCTCTCGTATAATCATTGAAATCAATTGAATGTCGATTTTTGGTGTTTTATAAAGTAATAAAGTAGGGATCAAACAGCGAAGAATTTTCTTGACGTAATACAACTTGCGGAGTTTTGTGTAAGACCACTTTAAGCCAAGAACATTTGTTTCTGTAGCTAGCTATTTTAATATGTAGAGGCCGTTTGTAACGTTGAATTCATTAGTCCAATTAAAGTCATTTCTGTAGGAAACAAAATGCTTCCTACGAAATTTACTAAAGCAATGTTTGCAACGTTCATTTTTTATACCAATTATTAAGAAATGAGCATAAAAGCATTGCGTTTAATTATGGCAGTTCGTGTCGAATAGATGCAGTGTAGAATATTATATTTCGGTTCTAATATTAATATTGCGATCAAGACGTGCTAAATTTGTGTAAAACTTCATTTGCACAAGAAAAGCCGTAGAATTTAGACAATGAAGGAACAGTCGACAGCAGACGGCTGATGACTGCTAGCAGTTTTATGACGTTAAAGCACAAATCATATTAAGATTTGAAGACCTTCTAATTTATTGGTCAATCACTTATCAGATGCATTCAGGGCCGCTGAATGGCTTAACCCTTTCTCATTGCGCTCAGGCCGTACTTTTATGTACTCGAAGATAATACTTTGCACAGATTAGAAATGCGATGCAACGCTTGTTACAAAAATCTCACCTATGAGCTTATTTTGTGTGTGCTGCCTGCTGCTGTGAAAACATCTTCAAAAACTTGGACTAGACAATTGAATGTTACAAGCGGGCTTAAATAAACAACGGAATGATTTACCTCACAGTATCGTTTTTCAAAATAATCGTTCGTATCACTGTCAGGAAAAGCTATAGAAATACTTTTCACTTTATGCACGTTTTATTTTTAAACCTAATTTTGTTGCGAAATGTATTGTACGTAATTCAAAATGGTAATTTTTCAACTGTGCATGGTGCTCGAAGAACTTAAAAATAAATCGTAATGTGAATTGCATTTTACTAGTAGGGAATTGTATGACAACTTATTTCGCAAACACCGATATAACTGCGAGGACATAGGTAGACAACAAAGGATAAAGTAACGCGGAATAAGAATTTTCGTAAAATTAGATGCTATCGAGTCTTGAAACTTAATAAAGAAATACCTTCATTGTTTCTTTATCAAAAACAAATTAAATACTTACATAGCTTTGTAAATAAATATATTTTTAATAAATTAAAAAATATGAAGAGAGGATTTCTGCGTGTAATAACGTATAGTGATAATAATCGGTAAACAGGGTGAAGTGTTGGAGACATTTGATTCCTCTGACAGCTTCATTATGAAAGCATTGATGCTTGTAAAAAGAATTGATGCTTGTAAGTATATAAAAAACTAATATCGTCTGAAAAATATATGTTTCTGTCATGTATGAAATCAGTTGCAGAAGGCGAAATGTAGGTACGCTAATAACTTATACGTTATATGAAAGATCGATTAAATATTACTGTTGAAATATCATTTCAAATTTACATACATTTAATTAAGTAAATGTCAAAATTTAATATCTCGTAGGTTAAATGTGAAGATTGCGTATTAACTTATATAGCAGTACAACGTAAAGGTGAATAAACTTTAAATGTTTAGGTACTTCTTTGAAGTTTGTAAAGGTCACCCAGGACTATTTTATAAATCTAACTCATTCATAACACATTTACAGATAATATTGCACCTTTGATATGTTAATTGACCTTTCGATAATATAACATTTTATAGGTACCTTAAAGTATGTTATACCATTGAATTTTGTCGCGCTTTCTTCCATAAGCGTTAGGCTTCTTATAGTGTTTTTATTCAATGTTATACGTATAAAGATACTCGCCTTAATATTATGTAAGATAAAATTCTCACTAAAAAAAACCTCCGATTGGGTTCTACGTTCTACAAACGATAGACATCAAGGTGCCATGAAGGATTAGTCATCGACGATAAGATCGAAGGCGAGTGTAATGCAATCCTTCCGGGAAAAATGTGTGTTATTGTAGAACATTCTGAATCGTTTTAAGAACAGTCTAGAACATTGTCGTTTATTAACGAGCTCCTAGCGAGTTTATAATTTTGCGATGTCTGTCCGTCCGTCCGTTAGCACGATATCTCGAAAACGAACGGACCGATTACGATGAAATTTTGCAGGTGGATTCTTTATCAAATTTGTAGATCGGAATTCGTGAATTGGAAATGGAGGCCAAAAAATAAGGAAGGCCCTTTTGACATCTCCGTTAGTTATGAACCGAATAACATGAAATTCAATATGGGCATAGCTTGACATATAATACGCAATGTCAAAAGTTGAGGCTAATCGATCCACATTCACAATGCCCTTTTCGCATCTCGACTATTTCTCAACCGAATCGCAAACTTTTTTATTTATAAAGGTATTTAAATGGAATTTGATACATAGGTACTTGGAATACAAGCAAATGTAACTCCAGTTTCAAAATTTGGTTTTGTGCTTGCGCAGTGCCAACATTCTTATCAGTTCAGAATTGGTGAGCTGGAGTTATGTTATGTATAAGTTGTAACTGATGAATAGGTAATAATTACTGTTATAAATTTATTGTTAGTTAGTTGTAATTAATAAAGCACGTAATTAAATTTACGTTATAGTATTGTGCGGTCTTTGATACTGTTACACTGTACATAGCTATTTTAAATTCTATGCTCTATTGTTGTTTAAAATAAGGCAGGACATTACTGTACAATCATTATACGAGTATAAAGAATCTGAATTTATTATTCAATGATACAATCTAAGTTGTTTTACTACACAATTTATTTCATTTAAGACGTAATAGAATTGATTCAAACTTGCACTTATTTTTATTCATCCTCTCATACCAGATTTATTTTGTAACTACGAAGGTAACTACTGTTTGATTAACCGAAGTTTTGTTTGTCCGAATCACTACCAAGTTCCAATTAGTTCGGATAATCGACGTTCTACTGCATATTTCCTTATATATACGGATTATTAGTTAAGTATGTCGATGGAGCTTGTTGTTATTATTCTTTGAATGACTGACTCATTCGTATTTCTGTATAATTGTTAAAAAGTATCTATGCAATAAGCAAAAACCGAGTAAAAAATTAAATTCAATGGGATTCCATAAGTACTTTTGATGTGATTTCTGGGGTAGCGTTGTAACATTGGCCATACTCGTATTCTGTATTTTTAATGGTCGAATTGTATAATTTTCTCCCTTGGTTATTTGGGACCGGACGCGAAGGGCGAAGGGATATATAAATAGCTATTATTCAATCCTACTACTCGTACTATATTATGGCATAACCATGTTGGTAAGAACATTTTTCGGTGATGTTATAATTAGTAT